AATCATCTCCAAGCCTTACTCCCAAATCGTCCTTTTGGTCTTAACTGTTCTTGCCTCCTGGCAGCTCTGTGCATGTGCACACAGGCTCTCCCTGTTCCTATGTCTCGCTGATGTCAGGCTCCAGAGGCTCTGGAGGCAGCACATAACTCCCAGATGGCCCTGGCCCCCTCTCTGCCTCTGACGCAGAGCTCTCGTCCGAGCCTTCCTCAGACTCCAGGAGTGGCCCATGTTCCTCCCCAACCTCCTCACTGTCTGATTCTGCTGCCTGCTCTGCAGGCCGCCGGCAGACTACAACAGCCACATTTTCCACTATGGAAAAATGGGAGGGAGGGATTATGCAGAGTGTGGGTGATATAAAGTCGAAATTACATTCTTTCTCAGAAAGTCAAGGCCATCTTGCCTTGCAGCTGCAATGAGGTGACTGGGAGGCATCTTCAGTTTTGGATGGTGCCTAATTGGATCCTGTGATGGACATGTGGGTGCTTGGTAGGGACTTGAATTTTCTTTTGGGTGGGGAAAACCTGGAAACTTTCAGATTCAGGTTTTCCCAGATGTGCCAATATGGCATCTCTAATAAAATGGAACTTTGAGGAAGCTTAAGCCTTGGAGTCTTCTTTCGTTGGGGGTGTTACTTGGAACCCTGACAGATAAATTACAATAAATCAATAAAACATTTTTAAAAAGATAAGACAAGGTAGCATATAAGCAGCAGATCCTCACTTGGAGGAAAATACAGTAACTAAACTCTGGATTATTCTTTGAAATCAGTTGCTTTTTTGCTCCAACATGTCCTTTATTCTATATTTTTCTCTTCTTTTCTATAGGTCTGTCCTGAGGGCTCCAGAGATTTTCGAGCAGAACAGTGTGCCGAGTTTGATGGGACAGAATTTCAAGGGAAGAAGTACAAGTGGCTCCCTTACTATGGAGGTAATTTATTGATTGCTATTGCTGACTCTTCATAGAAGGTGACAGAAAATCTGGGGGAAAGGGGGGGAAATATTTGCTGAGATTTCTTGTCTGGGAACATTTATTTAAATTATTATTTAACCTGTCCTTCAGTTTAATAAGGAGAAGCAACATATTTTTTTACAAAATATTAGTAATTTAATGTTTCCAAATATCAATTTAATTAAATCAAATTAAAAGTTAAATTGGAAAAATGTAATTTTTGTTAAAAAAAATCTGCTGTTAGAATGAAAGATACATTCACAGAAAGGGGGAACAGAGTAGAGAAATGGCAAAGGGAAAAGCATGATTGTATTCTAATTGTTAAACTGATCAGTGAAGACATTTGGGGAAATAAAGGAATCACCCAATTTGATTTCGCTCTTTTGGAATACAACTAGGTTTCAATTAGGGCAATTAATGAATCCACAAAATAGTTGCATTATTAAAATTTTCACTATTGCAGGTAAGTAAGATAGAACCTAGAATAACAAGGTTGCAAAGAACTTTGGTGGTCTTCTATTCCAACAGGAGAATTTATACCTTATTATTATTCTAGGATCATATTACATATATATTATTGCATATTTATTGTATTTTATTATATATACTATAGAGATCCAGGTAAATGGTTCCAGCTTTATGGGAATATGCAATGAAAATATTTAATCATATTTTTATTTGTTTTTGATGCATATTACATTACATATTACACATTACATTCTTTTCCTCTCTTAAATTTAAAGCTGTTTGCTCTCCTTAGAGGAATGTTGCTTTTGATTGCAATCCTCAGTCTTTATAGATGTTCTGTTTCTATCATTGAAACACTTCTACTCCCTGTAGCTGTTTACAAACCACACAAAAAATGATGCAACTTTACATTTTTATTTCCCTTACATACCATTGATTCAGGCATTCCAAAATCTCATCCTATTTTAGAGTTGCTGTGACTATGTTCAGTTGTACCCAGTTTTTGCTGTAATGTAATAATGACTTTTTTGAGCTTGTAGTGTTTTCATTGAAATGAATCTTTCTTTTTTCCATTTCATGCACCAAAGATAAACAAGTAGAGTGTCTAAAATCCAGCAACATGGTCCTTCAATATTCCTTTATCGTATTGCAGAAAAATGGGTTAAAGTTGTGGACTGGCTAGAAAATCTTCATAGCCATCCTTATCTGTCACCAAGCACTATATACTATTTTCCACTATATATCCCATTCCATTGATTTTATATCCCCCTGCACATTCCAAACCAATAAACTTGCAAGGGGGTTTCCATAATTGAGATCCTACCCTGCACAGAATATCATGAGCCTGTTAAAGATTGGCCTGGACTTGAGACCATACAGATCACAATGTCTTAAAACTGACTGCTTCTGTCCTTACCATTGCTAAGGCATGCTGCAATTTGCATAGATTGCCAACCTGGTCTATACCTTAAAAATCATCAATCATGATGTTATATCCAAATAAAACAACATGAAAAGTACTACATATTCATTCATTCATTCATTCATTCATTCATTCATTCATTCATTCATTCATTCATTCATTCATTCAT